CCACCAGGTCGTCCACTCGGGGGAGGGGGTAGCTATCGAAGTCCGATACCTGGTTCAGTCTCCGGAAGTCGTTACACAGGCGCATGCTTCCGTCGGGTTTCGGTACAACGACGATGGGACTGGACCAGGGGCTGGATGACTCCTCGACGATCCCATCCCTTAGCATTCGCTCCACCTCCTCCTCGATGGCCTTCCGCCGGGCCTCAGGGACCCGGTAGGGTCTCTGTCTAACTACCACGCCGGGGGGTGTCTTGATCGTGTGGTGAACCACCTGGGTCATCCCCGGGGAGGAGGAGAACACGTCTGTGAATTGGTCCACCAACTCGTTGAGTTCCTGTCTCTGCGCGGGGGTGAGGTCTTCCCCAAAGTCGACCAAGGCACGCTTGTCAGGATCTGTGTCCCGGCCCGCGTACGCCGAAACCCTCGGGACTGGTTCCACCCATCTCTTCAGCAGGTTGATGTGGTATAACTTCCCGTCCGTACGCTTACCGGGTTGTTGCAGGCGGTAGTTGACGGCTCCCCGTCGCTCAAGGACCGTATACGGGCCCTGCCACCGGGCCAGGAACTTGCAGGCGCTGCTAGGCACTAGAAGCAGGACCTGATCGCCTGGATGGAACTCTCGAGGGCTGTGCCGGGCGGTTATACACCCGCTGCTGTTCTTCCTGCGGCCGCGCGCAATGTTCCTGCACTATTGGTGCCACGGGTCCAATTCTATCTTGCATCTCCTGCCGTACTCAATGATCGAGATGCACGGGCGCGCTGTTCCTCCCAGGCTTGGCGACGTCCAGCAGTCCTCTTGGCCGCCCAAACAACAGGAGCTCAAACGGGTGAAGCCTGTGGACGCCTGGGGGCACTCCCGGACGGCGAAGAGTACATAGGGGAGGAGGAGGTCCCAGTTCCTCCCCTCGTCGTCTACCACCCGCCGTAGCATCCGTTTGGGCGTCTGATTGAAGCGCTCCGCAAGTCCGTCGGTCTGCGGGTGGTAGACAGACGTCTTCAGATGTTTCACCTGCAACAACCGGCACAGATCCGGTCATTAATTTTGACACGAAAAAGGCATGTTACCTTGGTCGGTCAGGATGTCCTTGGGAATGCCCACCCGGCTGAAAAGGAGCATTAGCTCCTGGCGATGTTGGGGAAGTGGCCTTGCGTAGCGGCCGCCTCCGGTACCGGGTGTCATAGTCCACAACAACGAGGATGTACTCGTGGCCCGCGCTGACTTGGGAAGGGGGCCTACCAGGTCCATACCAATCCGCTCGAATGGGACGCCTATGATGGGTAGCGGAATGAGGGGTGCTGGCGGGGGCTTCCTGGGCGCGGTGCGCTGGCACTGAGGGCATTGCTGGCAGAACCCCCGGACCTCGGCATCCATCCCGGGCCATACGAACCGGTCTCTCAGTTTCTCCAGCGTGTTGCGTGCCCCTAGGTGACCGCCGAGGGGGTGGGCATGGGCCAGATGCATTACCAGGTTAGTCCTCGTCCGTGGTACCACCAGGAGGTCCGTCGGTTCCTCTCGCGACAGACTCGTTGGTAAGAAGGCCCCTTTCACGAGGAAATACGAGGTGGGGAGCCTCAGGTCGGGGTTCTGGGTGACCCCCTCTATCCGCCGACGGCGCTTGTGCCCAACAGTGTTTCAGGCGGTCGTCCTCCTTCTGCTCCCGGCCGAACTTCCCTTCCCGGTTCACCTGTTGGAACACAGAGGACACTGGATTAGTCAATCGGGAGGACTCACCTTCGGTTTCGGCGTCTCCGGGCTGCGTGCAGGCAGACTGCCCGGCGTTGGGTCCTCTGGGTCCGTCGCGACGGCGTCTTCGCCGGCCGCCGGGACCCGTTGGGAAGCCCGGCCAGTCTCTCCCCAGGAGCAGTGGCACCGGAAGAGTGGGGATCACGCCCACATGGAGGGGCCAGGTCCCGGCTGTACTCCGGATCCGCACCTCGGCTGCCGGGATCTCCCGGGTCTCCCCATGGATGCAGGTAACGGCGAGGACTCCCTCCGGTTGTAGTGCCTTGGGGAGGACTGTCGGTCGGGCGAGCGTCACTGTGCTCCCGGTGTCCAGTAGGGCGGTGACGGGTCTTCCTTCTACCCACACCCTCTGGGTGGGGCCCTCGGGAGGCTGTTGGAGGTGGGGGGGCGCCGCACCCAGCTAGCCATGGTTTCTGGATCGGCCGACGGGGCTCTATCTCCGGTTCCGTGGGCATGGGCTCGTCAGCGGGGGTCATCCGGCTGGGTGACCTCCGCGGGTCCTCCATGGTCCAGGGGCCCGTTGGCCGGTCAGGCCGGGGCCCTGAGGTCCCGAGGGGTTGGGCAGAGGGCTGATGGCCCCCTGGCTAAACCCGGGCGTGGTCGCATATACGCTCCAGTGCCGACGAGGCGCCTGGGGTGATTCTGGCGCCTGTGCCCCTATGGCCTGTCGTTCTGGGCGGGTAGCGCCCTCAGGAACCGTCCATCGCCACCTTCTCTACCACCTCCGTGGCTGTATACTGGTCCGGTCGGAGCCACCGCTTAGTGAGTCGGATCAGAGCGTTTAGTTGCCCACGGGGCGGCCCCGGCTGGTAGACCCAGTTGTGGAACTCTACTGCCGCCTGGCCCGTGGTGCGGCCACCCACGCCAGGACCCCCTCTTTCATCGTTGGGTAATCGGGCTCGTTCTGGTTCGAGGCTGTAATTGGCGGTGCGTGCCTCCCCGTGAGTAACCCGGCCAATGGCCCTGGGCCAGTCATCCGATCCCACCCCTCTCGACGGGCAATATTTTCGAAGGTTTCGAAATAAGCTACGAGGTCCTCGTCGGGGGAGAGGGGTTGGTAATAGGTGGCGAGCTCGCATCTGGGGTCCGGGAGGGTGTGGCAGCGGGGGTCAGGGTCTTAAGGTCCACCAGCGTTTGGGTGGCCACCTGGAGGCTTTCGGCGAAGTTGCTGCGTAACGGTCTGTTGCTGGATGCTGGCCTCCAGCAGGTGTTTTAACGTTGCTCCATGAGTTGTGTGTGGGTTTTTTTTTTTTTTTTTTTTTTTTAGGGGTGGGCCTGTGCTACTGCCTGCATCCTCCACCAGTGTAGCGGGATCAGCCCAGGGGGGGCGAAGAGGCGCTAGCACAAACACACGGGAGGCGGGTTGTAGTGCGAGAAGTGAGGGAAAACCCAGGATTTATTTGTCCTTAAATCCGTAGTGGTGTTGTGTGTGTGTGTGTTTGGGTGCGTGCGCGCGTGTGGGGTGAAATGAGGGAAACCCGGCGGGGCGGGGCTGGCGTAGCTGCGTCCTCCGGGCGTGTCGGAATTCCGAAGCGCTGGGAAGGAGCGGTTTCCCCGTGCCGTTTCGGCCTCACTAGCCTGTCCTCGCTCTCGTCCGCGGCCCGCGCCGGGCGGAGCCCTCTGTGAGCGGAGAGAGGGAGAGAGAGAGCGAGAGAGAGAGAGAGAGAGAGCGAACGGTTAGGTAAGCCCGTGTTTGCGCGGATTCAGTGGTAATTACACCGGACATTAGCTGCCTACATAGCCGAGTTGATCCTCCTCGTTCGGTGCGAAGGGTGTCCCTTTATCCCCTCCTTCTGGAGCTGGATTGGTGAACCTCCTGCTCCCGGTTCGCCAATCCGCCCGCCGGCGTGGCGGGGGTTGGCTCCACCCTGCAGTGACGGCCCTTCCGGTTGGCGTTGGGACCGGGGCGAGGCTGCCCGCCCGTGCCGGGCGGCAGTCGGGGAAAGAGCGAACCTCCTAGTTTGCGCGCGCGGTGTTGGTCCGCCGCGACAATATGATATATATATATATATATATATATATATATATATATATATATATTATCCTTTTACTATTACAGATAAAGTGAAAATACTTTTATGTGGAAAACAAAACAGTTCCATGCTACTGGAGATCTTGGTTGTGTTTTTGTTCCTCTTGTCAGTTTTGCGTGTCTATATAATTGCAACCGTATAATTGCAACCATTTTGAGAACCGAATAAGCGACTGACTGGATCAGTTTATTAAGAAAATTCATTTTTGCCTGCTGTCACAATGACTTGTAGCTATGCTAGCTAGCTAGCTACTGTACTCTGTGTTATAAGACGAGGTGTTGCAACCCTATGATAAGCCCAGGGTAAACTCAGGGTCTGTAATGGTTGGTGTACCAGTGTGACCAGGAAATGGCTAGCTAGGATCATAAACAAAAATGAGAGTCCACAACAATACTATTGTATGAGTTTACTATGTTTTCCTTTTAAGGCAGCTAGGTTTTTTGTGTTAAATGTTTCGAGGTTCTCCAGAACAAGGAAAGCACAAATATAGTAGGTTTTCTGCCAGTTTGAGTGGAATCAGTCATGCAAGGAAAAGTATATGCGGACCACAGTCTATTTGATCGACTTTGTCGAAGAGCTGTTTATTCTGTTTAGAAGAAAGGTATCATTACAGCCAACTTTAGCCTCTGCGTTATGTTTAATTTCTCTAGGATAGACACGCCCCATCACTCTTCACTCCGCCCCCATCTTTACTGCTCAGAACTGGTTAAAGTTACATTTAATCATGTTTAATTTCTGTGAAACAAGATTTTTGGCAATTTACTGTGGTAGGAGAGAAAATAAAACCCTTCAGGGCATGCTGTTTTAGGAAAATAATCGACAAAGGCGAAGTGGAGTTATTCTTACACACCAAAGTTGATTATTTTCCTAAAAAATAATGTCCTGAAGGGTTTCATTTTCTCTCCTACCACAACGATTTGCCAACAATTTTGTCAACTGTGGAGACTCCTTCCTTCCATCCATCCATGTTCTATACCACTTATCCTACAGCGTCGCTGGGAACCTGGAGACTATCCCAGGGAGCATCGGGCACAAGGCGAGGTACATCCTGGACAGGGTGCCAATCCATCACAGGGCACAATCACATACACACTCATTCATACACTATAGATAATTTGGACACACCAATCAGCCTACCAAGCATGTCTTTGGACTAGGGAAGGAAACCAGAGTAACCGGAAGAAACCCCCACAGCGCGGGGAGAACATGCAAACTCCGCACACACACATGGTGGGAATCGAACCCCAGACCCTGAAGGTGTGAAGCAAACGTGCTAACCACTAATCCACCATGTGCCCGACTCCTTCTCAGAAAACGTCTCCGTATCAATGATCATGTGTGTTCTTTTATCCATTTATGTGGAATATTGGCCACACAAATCCACATGTAAGTTGTTACGATAGAAACAATATTAGAAAATGAACCAGAATCCAGAACTCACCAGTGAGTACTTCACAGTCGCGTGTGATGCTCATGCTCTTTAATGACGGTCTGAAAGGGTTACAATTAGCCTTGCTAGTTCTAGCGTCTCATTAGTTATTCCCTCGGCTTTCTTATCATTTATCTCCATCTCTTTAAACAGGTGCACTCCCAGAACATCACTTCCACGTCTCTCTCTAACACTCTCTTTCTCTTCTCTCCATGCGGTCCCTCGACTCTCGTTCCATTTCCAGCTCCACGCAGATGTGGTGTATTCTGGGACTAGCGGCGGATTGTACGAGTCTGTTTTATGAGAGTTCACACCCTATTATGAGGCACTGAGCTGCTGTTTTCTCACACTCTGATTCAGAGTTCAGCTGATAAACGCTTACAGATTTATGTCAGCATTAATTCTGTACGCTAGCTCCGCTGAGGGTTTCTTTCCGACTCGATATCCCATTTAGAAAACAGATGGAGATTTACTTCTACTTTAATATGATACACTAGTCATCATGTACTAGGAAAGTACAGCGAGCTTCAGTTAATGTGTCCGTTGACCAGTTTTATCACAGAAACTGATGATCTCCTGGGATATCCACGCAACAACAGATGCAAAAACAAACGCATCCAGGTATGCGGTTTGCTGATGAGAGACGTCAAAGGCGAGACTGGTTCGAGCTGACAGGTATCTCAAATAACCACTCTTTACATCCATGGTGAACAGAAAAGCATCTCAGAAAGCACAACACATCAAATCTTGCTTTGATGGAAAGCTGAAGATTGGAAAAAGTGTCACCTGGTCCAAAAAAACAGACAAGGGAGTTATAATTAATTAGACGCTTGGCATGAGGCTTGTGTGTGTGTTTGTGTGTGTATGTGTACAGTTTAAATCAAGAGAGAGTCATTCAATAAGTTGTCTGTCCACATTTCCTCTCAACAGAGACACGTTTCTTTTAAATCAGAGAACCGCAGTATTCACTTAAAAGAGTGAAGCTAAAAATGCACTGAGGTCTCAGCTGAACCGCAGAGGTCAAAGGTCACTTCACTGTCTGTATTAAAGTGCCACCTAAGCTGATTTTCTGGACAAGCTCTTCAGCTCTCACATTCTCATTCACAGGCTTCGGCACGTCCAGAAGACCGTCTGCTGAATAACAAGCACATAACATTTCTACAGTTCATTCACACAGACTTATAGGGCAGAGACCATTATTTAATTTTTTGAAAAAAGGTAAAAACTGCTTTAAATAAAATGTGTAATCAATGATACGGTGAAGTGTTCTGAATGAAGATGTTTATTTATGATTTCTGGAAGGAGTCTCCAGTGTCAGTGCTTTGTAACAGTCAGAGGTAAAGCTGTAAAGTCTTCAGGACAGGATGTCTTGGTACTGTGAAAACCTGCTTTTTTAACTTATTGGTGATGGAATGACTGTTTATAGGTCCTAGCGAGAACTTGTTTCAAGGACATTCCAAAAACATTAAATGTAACCAAAAATGTATAAAACTATGAGTTTTCATTGATATGCATCTATCCATCTTCAAACTGTTACTCCTTTTCAGGGTCGCGGGGAAACCTGGAGCCTATCCCAGGGAGCATTGGGCAAAAGGCGAGTAAACCCTGGACAGGGTGCCAGTCCATCACAGTGCCAGTGATATACAGCACAATACAAATAACAATGAACTTCCATACGTCCATTTTCAATACCACTTATCATATCCTACACAGGGTCACAGGGAGTCTGGAGTCTATCCAAGGGGACTCGAGGAACAAGGCGGGGGCCACCCTGGACAGGGTACCAACCGATTGCAGGGCACAATCTTACACACACACACACACACACACACACACACACACACACTCACACACCATGGACAATTCAGAGATGCCACTCAGCCTACAATGTATGTCTTTGGACTGGTGGAGGGAACCTCCAAACCACGGTGGCTGTGGCTCAGGTGGTAGAGCTGGTAGGGTTGTCCACCAATCACAGGGTTGGCAGTTCGATTCCCTGCCCACATGACCCCACATGCCTCCACTTGACCCCACATGACTCCACATGCTGAAGTTCTTGAGCCAAGACACTGAACCCCAAGTTGATCCCAATGGTGAGCTAGCGCCTTGCATGTGTGTGTGAACTGGTGAATGAGAACCAGTGTAAAGCACTTTGTAAAACCGCTAAGGTTAACAAAAGCACTATATAAGTGCGGTACGTTTACCATTTCATGGGGAGAAATGCTAATTCAGTACACACAGCGGGATCGAACCTCACAGATGAAAATGTGATCATTAGAAAAAAAAACCTGTCTATTTCTCTACACACACAGAGAAGCGTGCTTATTCCAAACGCATTTTCCCACCGACCCTTAGGATGCCTTTTTTTCAGAACGCCGAACATGAGCCTCCTTTTTACACAGGATAATTATTTTAACTTCCCGAGCATGATGGTGCCTGAGATAACGACATCCTTATCTCGCTGTAACGATCACACCGGCTGCTCCCGCGCGCGGCTTAATCTATTAGATCTTACCTTTAACAAATGACATCTCTGGATGATAAAGCGCAATTCAAAAGGCTGCCACTACCTGATTAGGTCGCATCGCGTCACCGTTTCGGCAGACGAGGGATTTATATTTGTTTTTTTTGTTTTTGTTTTTTTCCAGAGAACAAAAGCTTCAAGGCTTGACTTTGGTTTGTTTGTTGTTTTTTTTTTTAAACAAACACAGGCTTATACAACAAAGCTGGTTTACAGAAGCATTTCACAATTTATTGTTATTGGGTTCCTTTTTGAGAAGTTTTCTAAACTATGAGTTTTTGCATTGCTCAAAAATAACAAAAATTCCAGATATTTTCTCTCCTCAGTAGTGTATATAGGTTACAGTGCATACAGCTCACACGGCTTGACTCTCATGCTTTCAGCGATGCTCGAGGCAAAGCAGCACCTTTACTGTGTTAGGTTACTGTATTCTTCCTTTGTTCTCCTTCTCTTCTAGATGCCTGTCACTTTTATTTATTTATTTAAATCTCCCCCAAAAAAATTTAAAAAGTCGTGGATGGAGGCGGGAGGAAAACAGGCTGGTGATTTGCCGAGTTCTTTATGCGTTAATTTCCCTTCCTTTCCCTTCCCTTCAAAACATCGACCTAGCCTGGACCCTCCATCACCCGTTTGCTTGTGTTTATGCAGATATAAAGTACCGCCTGCGTAAGTTGTTGTCAGAGAGATGGATGTCCTCGATGCGTCCAGTAGAGAGAGAAAAAGAGAGCGAGAAATGAAAGGAGGGAGAAAAAGAGATCGAGTCGGTGAGAGATGCTGTGTGGAACGTTTGACAAAGATTGCTACTGAGTAGCAACGAACATCCGATAGAGCGTTACCGGTGCTAGCGGAGTTAATTGCTTGCGGAACGAACGTTGTGCACCGCAAGCGTTTTCTCAGCGTGGACCATACAGCCAAGCGCGAGTGAGAGTAAACATCAGAGAAACCGCAGAAAGATTGCGATATAGCCGAATATAGGACAGAGTACGAGTCTATTTATAATCACCAGTTTAGGGAACCGCGCAGCTCGGATTGCCGTGGGTGAAATATTGACATTATTGGAGATGTGGAAGATCATTTATCAACATTGTATAATACATTGACGAGGTCGGGTTGGCGCACTTCAGTACTTTATACCATGCGGGTAGCGGACACGGTGCGATGAGGTGTCCCAGTGAGATGTACTGTATGTACAAAATTGCTTATAATACTGAAGTGTTCGACCCCAATGCTGTGAGTCCTAAATGACTTCTGGTCTGATTCAGTTCAGAAGTCTCAAAATGAATCGAAAGTGCAGTTAAAGTGTCATGGGAGCTCAATATACTGGACTGTGCATAAATACTGCACATAGGTTCCTGGAAGAACCCAGGGTTTGGTTAATAATCGAAAGAGAAAGCATCATGAAGACCAAAAAGATATCAGAACAATGAGGGAGCTGTCTATCAAAGCAAAGTCACTGACTAGGTAAAGGGGGGGTTAGTCAGAGACTTAACCCATATATATACAGTACATATATATATATATATATATATATATATATGTTATGACTGGATACCTCATGACTCATATTTTCTTTGTAAGATTCCCACAAAAGTCTCACACACGGTCACACCCTTTCAGCCTGTGGCTAAGCTAACAGCCCGGGTTTGCCATATGTGGATTTTAGCTATTTGTCACAGTTGCACTCCTTCGGTTATGATTGATGCCCCTGCCGTGAGTGATGATCTGCAGCTCGAACGATTCTTTATTAAAACACTTTTTCCAAGCTGAACGTTTGAATGAATGAAAAATGGCTACTCGAGGTGACTCAGGTTCGGAAAAACCGTGAAAACTTATGATTGTTTGATATATATATATATATATATATATATATATATATATATATATAATAAGCGGAGGAGGAGAAAAACTCTTCTTTAGAGGCCTGGTTTAAACAAAAACAAAAAGAGTAGAAAACCAAGGTCATTATTGTTAGATCAGAGTGGGGGGAGGCTAATCAAGGAGACTGAGCTCATTTTTGATGCTTGAGAAGGTGAAGGCTTCGGTCACGGAGCTTTAATCGATGCTGTGAGCTCACAGTGATGGACTAAGTCTTTGATTACGGGTCAGAGGTTGAAAGAAAAAGAGATTTAAGAAGGTAAGAAAGAGAAAGACAAAAAAAAGGGCTGAAAGAGCTTGAAGGACTTTGCAGATAATCTAAACATGCAAATCTTTTTCACTAACTCCGCAGCTAGCTCTGCTCTGTGTGCTTTCACTGGAACCTTGCATTTTTTTGTTGTTTTTCCATATTCATGGCTTGGTAGCGTTCCGATATGACAGCTTTTCCAAAACATCAATATGTGCTTCCT